AGGAATGGGGGGGGGGAAAGGCGAGGATTTCTTAAAAGCTACCATTTTAATTGTTAAATTGAGCGTAATGAGAAATTTCGAGGAGGGGGAGTATGGGGTTCACGTTGTTGCGGTGTTAACTTTTTTCTTTATGCAGTTTTGCGGTGAAGAACAACTTGCATTGCGGTGATTTCAAACCTTACGGTGTACGATGAACTACAAACCGACTGTGTTCGATGCAATAAACCATTTCCGGTGTTGCAGTTTATTCTTTAACCCTTTTAAAAACTAAGCAAGACTCTCCATAGAAGGAGACGAAGAAGGAGACGAAGAAGGAGACAAAGAAGGAGACGAAGGAGGAGACTAAGAAAGACAAGAAGGGGGAGAGGAAGGGGGAGACGAAGAAGGGGACGAAGAAGGTGACGAAGAAGGAGACGAATGAGACGAACGAGGAGACTAAAAAAGACGAAGGAGGAGAGGAAGGAGGAGACGAAGAGGAAGACGAAGGAGACGAATGAGACGAAGGAGAAGACTAAGAAAGACAAGAAGGAGGAGAGGGAGAGACGAAGAAGGGGACGAAGAAGGAGACAAAGAAGGAGACGAATGAGACGAAGGAGGAGAGGAAGGGGGAGACGAAGAAGGAGACGAAAAAGGAGACAAAGGAGACGAAGGAGGAGACTAAGAAAGACAAAAGGAAGGAGAGGAAGGGGGAGACGAATAAGGAGACAAAGAAGGGGACGAAGAAGGAGACGAATGAGACGAAGGAGGAGCGGAAGGGTGAGACAAAGAAGGGGACGACGAAGGAGATGAAGAAGGAGACGAAGAGGACGAAGAAGGAGACGAAGGAGGAGACTAAGAAAGACAAGAAGGAGGAGAGGAAGGGGGAGACGAAGAAGGAGACGAAGAAGGAGATGAAGGAGGAGACTAAGAAAGACAAGAAGGAGGAGAGTAAGGGGGAGACGAAGAAGGGGGCGAAGAAGGAGACAAACAAGAAGATGAATGAGATGAAGGAGGAGAGGAAGGGGGAGACGAAAAAGGGGATGAAGAAGGAGACGAAGAACGAGACGAATGAGGCGAACGAGGAGACTAAGAAAGACAAGAAGGAGGAGAGGAAGGGGGAGATTAAGAAGGGGACGAAGAAGGAGACGAAGAAGGAGGCGAATGAGACGAAGGAGGAGACTAAGAAAGATGAAGGAGGAGAGGAAGGAGGAGACGAAGAAGAAGACGAAGAAGACGAAGAAGGAGACGAAGGAGGAGACTAAGAAAGACAAGAAGGAGGAGAGGAAGGGGGAGACGAAGAAGGAGACGAAGGAGACGAATGAGACGAAGGAGGAGAGGAAGGGGGAGACGAAGAAGGGGACGAAGAAGGAGATGAAGAAGAAGACAAAGAAGACGAAGAAAGAGACGAAGGAGGAGACTAAGAAAGACAAGAAGGAAGAGAGGAAGGGGGAGACGAAGAAGGGGACGAAGAAGGAGACTAAGAAAGACAAGAAGGAGGAGAGGAAGAAGGGGACGAAGAAGGAGACGAATGAGACGAAGGAGGAGAGGAAGGGGGAGACGAAGAAGGGGATGAAGAAGGAGACGCAGAAGAAGACGAAGGAGGAGACGAAGAAGAAGACGAAGAAGGAGACGAAGGAGGAGACTAAGAAAGACAAGAAGGAGGAGAGAAAGGGGGAGACGAAGAAGGGGACGAAGAAGGAGACGAAGAAGGAGACGAATGAGACGAGGGAGGAGACTAAGAAAGACAAGAAGGAGGAGAGGAAGCTGGAAAGATGATTGACTCACCTGGAAGATTGAAGTATGAAGAGACTAAACAATAAGAAACATCATCACTCAAGGGTTTTATTGTTGTTAAAGAATGTTATCAATACCTTTTCAGGTGTATATGAAAATTTATTACACGACTCGTGCAGTCAGAGGGCCAATAACTAAAATCAATCAATCAAAATGCTCTATTACCGGTCAGTATTC